CATCGCGGCAAAACCACACACGTTCCTGGCAGGCGGCTCGGGCCGTGTCAGAGGGAGCCTCAAACAAGGAGGCCCTCCTTCTCATTACACAGTAGACAAGCTACTTCTGACCCCACCCCCCCCCATCCCGTCCTGCCTCCCCCCTTCCATCTCTGTTAGTTTATTCTGGAACATTCTACTTGTGGTTCCCTTTTCCAGATTCCAAGCGGGCAGCATCGGCTGGTTTTTGTTTTTTTTTGATGGCATCCGCCGCTTGCTGCCCGCAGTTTTCCGAAACATCAAAGGCAATTTAGGGTCCACGTGGCATTTTTTGTAACGGTCAGAAAATGTACTTTTGGTAATTTCAGAAGCATGCGTGAAATTCGGCATTCCACGAGCATCGCATATTTTTGTTGATCATTAGCCAAACTGATGTCGTTGCCAAAATCATCCTTTGTTTTCAGGAAAATGAGAAAAAAAAACAATTGCTTGCAAGTACATCTGGATTTTTTTTTTTAAATTTAATATGGTAGCAATCTGCTAAAAATGATTATTAGGCTCATGAAATGTGAATGATGTCGTTGCCAAAATCGTCCTTTGTTTTCAGGAAAATGAGAAAAAAAAAACACAATTGCTTGCAAGTACATCTGGATTTTTTTTTTTAAATTTAATATGGTAGCAATCTGCTAAAAATGATTATTAGGCTCATGAAATGTGTTTGAGGATGTAGAATTCGATGAACCTGACATTTAGTTTTAGTCAGCATGCGAAATACAATCGAGAGTGTCGGAAAAGCCTAACGTTTGCATTTTGTATTTAAAAAAAAACAAACAAAAAAAAAAACGAACAGTTTTAGTAAATGTGGAAAACATTTTGGCCTTCAACGAACTTCAATCATTTTTGTAAATCGTTAGCCTTAGCTTGAAAAAAACAAAACAAAAAAAACATAACCAACGCTTAAGTTTGTCGACTTGATCAATTGTCATGTCCGGGTCATGAGGCATTTTAAACTTCAATCGTTTTTGTAAATCGTTAGCCTTAGCTCGAAAAAAACAAAACAAAAAACATAACCAACGCTTAAGTTTGTCGACTTGATCAATTGTCATGTCCGGGTCATGAGGCATTTTGTTGAATTAATTTCCTTTTGGAATATTGGCCTCGGTCCACTTGATTGCATTTAGATATCAACAAACATCATGGGATATGAAAAGCGTGACCGCTTGGATTGTTTTGATCTGGTCAGAATGATTGCCTGCACCCTCCTCGTCTGGGCTCCCTCCTCTCGTCGGTGCCTTGAGCTGCCGGAGTCTCGGCATTCCTCCGGTGGGCGATAATATGAGTGAGTCAGGAGGGGCCTCAAACTTGTAACCGACCTTTAATTGCCTCGGCCGAGTGTTGTCAGCTGGTTGGTGCGCTTTGCTTCGGGTTTGCATGTGCGTACGTGCATGTGTGTACTTTGGGTTTTGGGCCCAGAGCAACAAAAAAAAAAATCATTCACCAGAATGCAAACCTCCACCAAGGCTGGAATTTTTAATTCCGGTTTAATTCTGGTGAGTTGGAAATGTGTCTGTTTATTTTGCAGCATGGGTAACATTTTATGTCGGGGGGGTTCCGAGCTCCAATTGGTACCATCCTGACCATGCGCCATGACGTGCATGTATTCTGTCAATTCAACGGACTCACTTTCTTGTTAGTTGAGAGTACCGGAGCTCGTTGGAGGAGGACGTGAGCCGTTACTTCAGGAATTTTCTGTACACTGCTGTTGATATAGTGCTTGCAACTGCAGTTAAAATACGAAGCTGCCGCAGAGGCACATTAATCCCTCAATCAGCACAGCTGGAACTTTACGCTGTGTTGAGGTATATCAAACGGTCTGGCGGCCGCCATGGAATTTTCAACGCAGGAAAAACCCTGTATGTGAAAGAAGAGTTAGCTCAATTTTGGTTGTTCCACTCCAATCCTGCAGGTGGCGGCAGTGTGCATTACAATTGACAGTTGAGTGTTTGTGATTTTTAATGCATTCATTTATTATTACTGTTCGCATGTTTAATTTACATAAACAAGTCTGTCACGCTCAGAATTACATGATTCACGAGTTACCTTTTTCACCAATTTAAATTAAAAACATACTCCCAAATTTACAATTAAGTTGCAAATGAAATTCCAATGAAAAATATGAAAAGTTTTGAATGAAAGCAAAATTGCATTTTTGCACCATCTTTTTTTTTTTATTTTATTTTTTTAATCTTTTCAACTTCGCAATCAAAACATCAATATCATCATTTGTGCGGCTAGCATTGTTGCTGCTAGTTTTAATGCTAATCTCGACAGCCGTGCATTGCAACTGAATGTGGAGAGGCAGAGCGCGGTCCCAAGACCTCACTTGACACTGCCCTTAAATAAACAGCATTACTAGGCAGCAACCCATTTCCTTACACAAACACTCACACGCACAAGATTTGAGCGGGATCCTTCTGCTAATCACATGTTGCTAAGTGAAAACTCGATTCCAGCGTTTCCCTGTGGCAGCTGGCTTGTAATTAGGCAAGGCACTCGTCGTTTACTCTGCTGACCTCCGAGCATTTTATTTATTTTTTCTTGATTATTCTCTTTGTTGGTTTTATTTTCTCGAGCCGCTTCCGCAGTTGAGGGGACGCCGCACCTCCAGATGCGCTTATTATTGGTCAAGAATTGGGCGGCAATAGCAAGCTCCTCCTGAGCGCGCCGTTGTATATTGACCCAAAAAAAAAAAAAAATCTAATCGTGGCTGAAACCCTAACCTTTGCCTTGAAACCCTAATTCGCATAGAGACGGCTTATCAAGGAGTTGGTTTTTTTTTGTACAGCTGCACGGCTACGTGTCCAAGGAGCCGCTGACGCTGCAGCTGTTCATCGGCACGGCGGACGAACGTCTGCTGCGGCCACACGCCTTCTACCAGGTACACCGCATCACGGGCAAGACCGTGTCCACGCCCAGCCACGAGGCCGTCTGCAACAACAACACTAAAGTGCTGGAGATCCCCCTCCTACCTGACAACAACATGCGAGCCATGTAAGTTGCGCGCACCCAAACGGTACCATAGTTCTATTCTCAAGTAGACTGTATTGCAGGGGTGTCAAACTCATTTTTGTCACGGGCCGCATAGTAGTTACGGTTTGCCTTGGATGGTCGTTATGAATTTTGGGAAACCATAGAAATGTTTAATCATCGCCACATATTACATACACAGCGCACATCAAATTGATGAATAACTAGTTTTTAAATCAGAAATCAAGAATAATGACTGTCATTGTGGATTACATGTGACAATTTGAAATTTTGGTTCAGACTTTAGCAAGCATGATGGAACTTGACATGCTTAATTTGCTTTCGCGGGCCACATAAAATGATGTGGCGGGCCAGATCTGGCCCGCGGGCCTTGACTTTGACACCTGTGCTGTATTGTGTCGTGCTTGTTGACAATCTTTCTACATTCTTGTAGAGCATCTTGAACGCCTAATTTGAAACGGTAACCTCTATTTTTTTTTTTTTTTATCCGATCAGCAGTTGTGATTTGTGATTGTGTTGTGGCCGCAGGATCGACTGCGCGGGGATCCTCAAGCTGCGCAACTCGGACATCGAGCTGCGCAAGGGCGAGACGGACATCGGCCGCAAGAACACACGTGTGCGGATGGTGTTCCGGGTCCACATCGGACAGGCCGGCAACAGGACCATTTCCTTGCAGGCCGCCTCCAATCCCATCGAGTGTTGTGAGTGACGCCCCACCCTCTTCAATCTTCAACATTTGAAACCTTAACCAACCCTAATTTGAAACCCTAACCCCGTCCGTCTTTAACATCAAACACATGCCGTCATAGAGTAACCCATGATCTAAAGCCTAAATTGAAACCATAACCCTAGCTTGAAAAACGAATCTCAGAGTCATCTTTTTCTTGAAACCTTAATCTCCAGGTTTGAAACCGTATCCATCGCTTCAAACTGAAGGAAATTCACTGTTTCCTCCAAGAAGTTCAGGCAGCAAGTTTGGGAGTGAAAAAAGAAAAAAAAAAAAAGCAGTACGCACGCACGCAAGCAAGGGAGTAAGAAGGTAAAAAGAGAGGAGTGAAGTCACGTTGAGGGAAAATATTCTCGGAGTAAATATTTAGGGGCAAACATCCATCATTTTACAGAATACACAAACGCAAGCTGACGTCGGGATGCTCGGGGCCAAGCGGGGAACGGGTGCGCGTCTGCAGCTCATAAACTCAGTCGTGCGTAGGAGAAGGAATTCGACTACCTAGACGCTCTCACATAAACATTACTGAAATACTCTCACACTCACCACTGTCAACTTTCTCACACACACACACACACACACACACACACGCACGCACGCGCACACACACATTACTGAAGCTCTCACAGATTTACTGATGCACTCACACATGACTGAAATGCTCTCTCATACAGAACTGAAACATTCTCGCACGCATAAACTGAAACACTCTCACACATCTAACTGAAATGCTCTCAGAAACAAGTGAAAGACTATGATACACACTAAAACACTCTCACACAAACTACACACACACACACACACACACACACAAAACGAAGAGCATTTCAGTATAATGTATGAGAGCTTTTCACTAGTGTGTGTGTGTGTGTGTATACTGTGTGAGCCGCTGTCCCCCCCCGCCCAAAAAAAAAATAACGTCAAATTAAGCATGTGAGACCATTTCATTAAAGGTTCTAAGAGGTGATCTGGAATTCTCTTTCGACCGCCTGTCATATTTACGTCTTGCTCTCTCACATCCAGCCCAGAGGTCGGCCCAAGAACTGCCCCTGGTCGACAAGCAGAGCGTGGAGTCCAGCGCTGCCCCCGGAGGCCAAACCATGAAACTGGACGGGCATAATTTCCAGGCTGACTCCAAGGTGGTGTTTGTGGAGAAGGCTCAAGGTGAGCGAGTGTGTGTGTGTGTGTGTGTGTGTGTGTGTGTGTGTGTGTGTGTGTGTGTGTGTGTGTGTGTGTGTGTGTGTGTGTGTGTGTGTCTGTCTGTCTCCTGGAGGAACCCCAGGACTTTTTGCCCACCCCCATCTGAATCTCTTCCATCCTTGCCAGAGTGCCACATGTGGTGCACATTAATGTGCTGTATTTTTAACCCAGCACATTTACATTTGCACAACTTTCCATTGCCTTCTTCAGCAGGGTGTGCGTGTGTGTGTGTGTGTGTGTGTGTGTGTGTGTGTGTCTGACTGGGAGCTATTTGGGTTTGGAGGCAAAAAAGAGAGGAGGAGGAGGCGGTTGGTTTACAAACAGCAATTTTCTTGATTGGCCTCGGCGGGGTAAAAACGTGACGTTTGGGGCCGGGCGTGGCGCACGTGTGCTTCCAAAAACAAGGGAAGCCTTTGCATTGTTCCACCCAGGGAGCGGCAGGTCGTTTCATTAAGTACACCTGCATGATGCAATTTGAAGCCCGAATACAGGCTTGAAACCCTGATTTGCAACAGGAACCTTTGTTTGAAATCCATGCTTGAATCCCTAATTCAAAACCCTAACACAGGCTTGAAACCCTAACCTTGGTTCGAAAGACTAGTCCTTAGTTAAAATCCTAATTTGAAACACTGAGGCTGCAAACCACAATTTGAAACTTGTTTGAAAGCCGACGTACCTAATCAAATGACTAATGCGGGAACCATTCCCCGTCCATAAACGTGAAGCTGCCTGTCTTTTGGACTCCCCTCGGCAGACTTGGGCCCGTGGCGCGCGGTGTCCTTGTCGAGGGTTTCCCCGAGTTTGGCGCCCGCTTTGCATTCCCGGGCAATCCTGCCATGGAAACACCCTCGCGCGCTTCCACCTTTCCATCCTTCCACGCGGCCGTCCAAGCCGTGTCCTCACAACGTGACAAAGCCGCTCCGCTCTCTTGTTGTCGTCTTATTATATCATTCGTAGGCAGTCTCCAGGAGGATTTTCCTCAGTGGACGTTCCCACAAAGCACGTGTGCGTGCGTCCGTGTCAGAGTTTCCCCTTCAGTTCCCCACGTCGCCTGGACGGGGTTACCCCCGCCGCGTCCACTCACCCGCTAGACGGGCCGCCAACACACAAAAACCATCAATTGTTTAGTTTTCTGCTTCGGAGGCCAACAATCTCCGCCGTGTTTCCACTCAGAGGACAAACAACGTTCCAAATATGCGCGCGCGTGCGTGCCGATGACTCACACGAGAGGAAAGCCCTGCTTTCCCCTTTAAGGACCTTGTGTATGTTTCCACTGGAGTTTTTTTTTTTTAAATTTTGGAAATATCAACACAGATTTGATTGGTATGATTTATAATCGATTCACATGGTGTATTTTAATTCATGAAAGAAACAAGTGATCATCTTTTTTTTAAACTAAAATAATGATCACGAAATCATAATAATTGTAGGTTTTATCTTTTTTTTTCTCAAGCATAATAATTTTGGTTGTATATTTTTTTCTCTTCAAGCCAAAGAAACAATTACGCAACTTATTTGTATGAACAAACTTTTTAAAAATGTATCAATTGCAGATTTTCCTCTGTATTGTCATATCTCATGGCCCATTGGCAATAATCGGCGAGCCACGGCACCCTATTTTTATTCATAAAACACATTTACGAATTCGATATTATTCATAATTATTCCATTTCTTTTACGCGATTCTAAAGATGTAATCAATGATCGATTTCTTTCATATTTTCAACATTGATTTTGACTCACGACAGTGAGTGTGTACACACACACACACACACACACACACACTCAGTAAGACCAAGTGAACAACAATCGTAAATGCATTTTTAAAATCATTGCCTTTCTGCTCGCGGCGATTGTCACCACTCACTGAAGAGTGAGCAATATTTTTGGATCGCATCGCATGAGGCTGTGTTCTAAATCCAAAGCTAATGTTTTAACCCTTTCAGGGACAGCGCTCACTACAGTGGAAGGTTTATTATGTTGTCAAGTTACAGGGGGGGGGGGGGGCACGAAAGGGTTCTGCCAACTTACTAAAACTGTTACCGCGTCTCTGTTTAGTAATCCTCTTCCACCTGCTTCGCCGCACCTGCAAACAGCGACAACGTTGGCCTCATCGCAAATAACCCAAGATAGCATCAACTGGCCCCGATTTCCTCGACAGGCCTCAAACACGGTGGTGTAATCTCAAGCAGTCTCTTGTTTCCCAAATGCCTTTCTGATGCCGAAACCCGATAAGTGACCCCATTTAGGAAATTGCTCCTTTTTCGTCCGCATCAGGATTTGTTTGGGCGGTGTCAGATTCTGCTGGAAGCATCCGAGGATTTGTTAGGGCGCTAAAACAATCAATTAAACGAATAAGGGGGGAAAAAAATAGAAAACGTACTCGGGATTATGGGATTACGATACGGAAATTAAAGTATTATTTTTCGCGGCAGGACTTGCGGGCCCCGAATAGGACATGACATTTTCTCTCTTGATTTCCTTGCAGAAATCGTCAAATTAAAAACGAGCTTCAAAGTCCGAATTGAGTTGTACATTTTGATTCAATTCCATTTGAACTCCTTTCGTGCACCCTGTAACCCGATAACATGATAAATTGTCCACTGTAGTGACCGCTGTCGCTTAACCTTCCTCTTCCGTCTTCCTTTTAAGGCTCAAAAACTTTCCCTGGCGGGAAATTATTCTTGGCCTTCCACACCATCACACAAAACCAAATCTCCGCTTGCAATTGATGTTTTACGGAACCGTCTTGTGCCGGCTTGTGAAACGGCTCAGGCTCAGGTAGTCCAATGGTGTGAGACGCTGGTGTCCAACTCGAGGCCCGTGGGCCAGATCTGGGCCCCCACATATGATCTTATGTGGCCCGCGAAAGCAAATCAAACATGTCACCTTCCATGATGCTTGCTAAAATCTCGACCAAAATTTAAAATCCTCATATGTCATAAATAAAAGAGAGATTGAAAGCATTTTATTGTGACTAAACAACCTCATTACAGTAACTTCAACAAAAGTGCGAGAGATCTATACGGGTCAGAGATGGTTTGAAGAAACAGGAAGAGAAAGGTGAGCTCCAGTTTAGGGTGGGGGTCGGCAACACGCGGCTCTCGAGCCGCATGCGGCTCTTTAGCGCCCCCCCCCCCCCAGTGGCTCCCTAGAGCGTTGTCAAAAATGTTTGAAAATGGAAAAAGATGGGGAGGGAAATATAATTTTTGTTTTAATATGGTTAAGTCGAAGTGGCGGGGGGCGTGGGGGGTTAGTTGGGGTCCTGCAGTCAGGGAGGGGTTGTGAAGCGGAGGCAGAATGAAAAGAAAGGGCTTTGGTTTTGGTTGGGCAGTGTCAGGGGTTAAAGGCTTACGTGTCTTGGTATCATCTCCTGAGAGATCTTGTGCAAAGTTTTCTGTGGCATCGGCAAGGAAGAAACTGAGACAAGGATTCCCTTTGAGCTCACGTGTTTGGTGTTTACTGTACCTTACCACCCTGCTGCTGCTGCTGCTGCTTGACTCACGGCACCAAAGTGCCTCCACCCAGACCCGATTAGTCAACACAAGGGACCCGCTTGAGTCCCTTTCGAAAGCCAGGGCGACACTTAACTGTACTGTACACGATTGTGCGTGCGAGCTTTAGGGCTCATGTCAGGAGAAGGGTACTGGGTTTATTTGGAAGGAGGGAAGAAAGGGGGAGGGTGGGGTGGGGGGGCTTCTGGATCAGCATCAGGCCGAGCAGATGTTGCCCTCTTGTTTCGGGAACATTCTGCGGTTATCAAATACGTCCTTTTTCATTTATTTTAATTTTTTTTTTCGACCGCCGCAGACTTGAAACAACGTGCCGGACCTTCTGCTTCGGCGACGTTTTCCCAACCAGGTTGAACTTTGACAAAGGAAGTCCGAGCATTGACTTCAAAGCTCTTTTGATGTCTTTTGGGGGTTTTCAAACCCAAAAACGGGGCAAGCTCCAAATGAAATAACACAACCAAGTTCACATACTTTTCCTCCTGTCACATTTGGTACCTGCTCATCATCAATCCGACTGGAATGGAGACAAATACATACACAACCTCCCTGCCAATGGCGCCATCTTCCATTACCTCCTCCAGGGAGGGTTTTCACCAATGTTTTAGTGGTTGAAAAACAAAAAAAAAAACAACAACACTCAACTAATTATCGCAACTTTGTGCAAGGACATGGGTCAAAATTCAGACTTATGGAGGAAGCGGATGCCTTAACGGTGTCGAGTTTAGTCCTGCTTCAAACTCGGATCGTTCAATCTTGGCGTAGGACTACACTCTGCGGAAGGCCCCCGCTTGTTTTTAGAAGTTCTTGTCACAATTAGAGGAGACTCCCCCCCACCCCCCCCACCATGGGGTGCGTGAAAGGGTTCAAGAAGCTGTGTCCAAATGGAGCACAGGGTTTAGTTCAGGGCTCCGCTCGAAAGGTTTGCAAATTAGGATCACTCCAGCAAGCAGGTCGGATTTTTGTTTGGGTCCACTGCGAGTTTCATCTTCCACGTTCCTGCTCAAAGTTCATTCTTGATTCAAGGGTATGCGGTTTAAATTTGGGGCGGTTGAACCTTTGGCTTGGAGTTGGGCGTGTAGGGTTAGGGCAGGGGTCGGCAACCCAAAATGTTGAAAGAGCCGTATAGGACAAAAAACAAATGTCTGGAGCCGCAAAAAAATAAAAGCCTTCTATAAAAGGGAGGAGGAGACCGGACTGTCTCAGAATTGTTTGTTATTCATTCCTTTGTTGTGTGTTCACAAACGCCCCCATAGAATTTATTTTGTGGTTTCCTCGCTTGATTTTTTTGTTTTGGTGCATTATTTTTGCTTTTCTTAGTGTCAGTGAAATGATCATGAATTTCCGTTTTTCGGAGGTTGCCTTTGAACGCCTCTCGAGTCGAACGAGAAGAGAGAAGGCACGGAGTCGGACGCAGACGTGTCTGTGTTTATCGAGACTGTTAAAAACATAAATAAAGTGCACATTTTAAAAAAACCAACAACACAGCTCTCCTTTTTCGGAGCTGCAACGTATCTATATCTATTCGAGCTATATTAGCCTACTATCAAAATCTTTTTCCATTTTCAAACATTTTTTATAAAGCTCCAGGGAGCCACGAGATGTCGCTAAAGAGCCGCATGCGGCTCTGGAGCCGCGTGTTGCCGACCCCCGGGGTAGGGTAAGGTGATGATTAGGATCCAGTTCAATCCTTAGTGGGAGGTCTCTGAGTGCCGTCAGGACCTAATAAAACCTCACCCTTGGATATTGTCCCAAAGAAGAACTCCTGAATCCCTTCCCACTCCGGGATCCAACCCCAATTAACTTGTGATTGACAGCGGATTGATCCACTGTGATCAGTCCTTGGGAGCCGTTCGCTCCCTTGCGACCCTCAAAGGGAATAAACAATCTGAGAAACTGGAAGGACACGATGGAACAAAGTGTCTGAAGAGCCCAAAGATGAGATGATGAGACGGCATTCCGACATCGAAAATTGTTTGGTTGTTGGTGTCCAAGGGGGGGAGGGGTGGGGGGGGGGGTCCTCGTCCAAGCAGGAGATGCTTGGCGAGTGAGGTCACGGGCAGCTGGAAGACCACTTTGTGGTTGGAAAACTTAACGGGGGGAACGAGCTCGGCTTTTCCGACGTCCACGAAGGCAAAGTGGAAGCTGTCAGCGGTGGATCCCGCCACCTCTGACTCTCCCGTACGTCTACAGATCAAACACCGGCAGCCGGTTCGAATATTCCGACCCTAAAAATGACCAAAATATGGTCGTGCCCTTGCACAAACGCGAGGTCTTATTTTCACTTCACTCAATCGACGGTGTACGTGAATATTTATCGTAACATGATTTTTTATTTTTTTACCCGGCCTGCAAATTGCCACTCAAGTTCAGAAAATTGTAGGTCAAAACTCGCACTTGAATCTATCCGACACAAGAGCTGTTTCTAATATTCTGACCCTCAACTCCCAAATATATTCGAAGGCTCCTCAGTGTTGATGCGGAGCAGATTCTAGCCGGAGCCGCGTCAGAGGCGACTTTCCAGACGCGACGGGCTTAACGAGTTTGCCAGCTGCCGTCGGGATTCCGTCCGCGCGCGTTGACTCGTCAAGGCCCCGCACGAGATGTCGCTCATCTCCTTGGAATGACTCAGGCCTTCTTTTTTTTTTTTTTCGGGGCATCAGATTTCTCGCTCTCTCCGAGGGGACATGAACTCAGACGGTGTGACGTCGCCTGCTGCTTTCTCCATCAGTGATGTAACAGATGATGATAGCAGTGCTCCTTCCACTTTTTCATTTTGAATGTTTTTCTCATGTCTCTCTTTTGTATTTCTCTGTTGTCCTTTGCAGATGGGCACCACATATGGGAAACCGAGGCCAAAGTGGACAGAGATACCTCCAAGCATGTAAGTTGAACCAGTGTGGACAGTTTGGTTGCAAATTGTCAAAAACACGTCTTCCAGCCAGGACTCCATTCAGAAAATGAGCGATTTTACGGGCTGGGGGCGCCACTTCCTGCTCCTGCCTCATTTTCTGCGGAACTGGTCCAACTCAGCCTGGTGTCAGTGCTGACCTCCGACGGGTCGTCAGCCACTTCATTAGGTACACATGTACCCTCGTGAGATCGAACGCAAACGGGGCCAGTTTCTCTTTAAACACATCATCGAATCCACCGGCACGGACCCCATTTAGAAAATCTGCAATTTATTTTGCCCGTCTCCCACTGCAGGATTTATTCTCGCCGCTTTGGTCCAATCAAGCCCGGTGGCAGTTCGGACCTCATGCGGTTCATCGGCCACTTGATTAGGAACACATGCAAGTGAGATCCATCGGCTGTGTGGCCAGTTTGGTTTCAGTCGTCAGCACGGCCTCCATTGAGAAAATTGAACCCAGTCAGGCAGTTCGGGTCCCTCGCACAGTTCATCGGCACCTTCCTTAGGTTAAGCCTACCTTTGAAAACGTTCTCTTTGGCAAAGATGGCATCATGCCACCGAGTGTCGTTCCTAATATTTTGACTCTCCCAAGCTCTGACAGTCTTAATCAAAAGGAGGATTGATCCTGTTTGGTCTCATTAGATTCATGCAAATGTCCCTATTTTTTTTCTTTTTTTTATTTTTTATTTTTGCACACAAGGGAGCAGATGACATTGTGTGCCGCAGCACCTTCAAAGCAAGAACTTTTCACGGTGACTGCCGTGGTTGCCGGTCTTTGTCGGTCGGGCTCCTACTTTTGCACCGTTTTCCCGGTGAACTTCCTGCTTAGCGGAGACGCCGGAGCGGCGGGCTGGGAGTGTGGGAGAGCCTGGAGGTGGGAGGGATTAGAGGCTGTTTTTGTGTGAGGCGCTGCACCTGCTCCCAGCTTTCTGTACACACATAACACGCACACACACAAACACACACACACACACACACACACACACACACACACACGCACATTACAGAAAAGTGCTGGAACACTTGGCCCGTGGTGCAAAATACCTCACCGCCTGCGTCGCCGACACGCAGCATTTGTTGTGATTTACTTTCTTACGATGACTGTTAAAATGACAGACATCACATCTGGACGAGTCTTAATTGTGCAAAAAAAAAAAATAATTTTTTTTTTAATGGTCAATTTGTCTTTGGAATGACCTCCCGGCTAAACGTTAGGCAAGTCTTCTCTCTGCTTGTTTTTTAAAAAACTCATCTTTGAACACATTGTTTATTCTTTGGCTGTTGACTCAGCATGAGACCTGGTTTTGGTTTAAGTGATTTTCTGCTTTTTTTGCCATCTTTGTTGTTTTAACCGTCTTTGTTGTTGTATGACTTATTTTTGTTCCGTGTACCGCAGCACTTTGTTAGCAGACGTGTTTTTTTTTTCTCCCCTTCCTCCCTCAATGCTGTAATGCTCCCGTTGAAAGTCACTTTTGTGCACAAAATTTGAAGGAGTGGTACAGCACAGGTGCCTCAAAAAAGCGACGCGGTATCGGGAAATGAGGCAATTTGTCCTGAATGTGTGCACTGTGTCGCCATCGGCACAGATGGCCATGCTTTTCAAGGCTTTTTAATCAAGTTTATTGTTTTTATAAAGTCAAGGGCAGTCTCGGTTGGCTTCGCTTTGACTTCATTGAGTCCACTCAAAACTAGCAAAGTACGGCCTGCTGGAAGTTGGCCCCAAATTAGCAGCTTTGAGTCAAAATGGACGAATTCCAGGTTTGGGTCTTGGGAGACTTTGTGCGTCCTCTCACGATAGTCCTGTCCACGTAATTTCGTGTTTATAAGATAAGATAAGAAACCAAATTTTTTTTCCCCAGCTTTCTTTTGTGCTCTTTTGAGGCAATTAATCCAAAAAGACGACCCCAAACCAAAACGAGAGACTACTTGTCCGGTTCCAGGGATGAGTACTTGGTGCTGGAGCCTTGTTTAGTTTTTTTTTAACTTTCCAGGGCGCCCTACCGAGTACTCTGCCTTTGTCTTTCAGAACATGCTCCTGGTGGAAATACCGCCTTACCGCAACCAGCATCTCTCCACGCCAGCGCACGTCAACTTTTACGTCTGCAACGGCAAGCGGAAACGGAGTCAATACCAGCGCTTCACTTACGTGCCTTCCGCAGGTAACCGCGGCATTTCAGGTCACGTGAGCGAGCATGTGTGTCCTTATTTGAGTAGGAGGCATCCAGTACCCTTGGTGGTTAAGAATCACATCCAGTCCAGCCTTTGGTATTACACGCCACCATTTTGTGTGTCGAGCCGTTGTTTCTCATGTTGTGGGATCCAAAGAAAACAAGCGTCTGTTCTCCCGCCGCTTGTTTCTATGAGTCATCAGACACAAGGTCTCATTGATCATGTGTTTGTTTGGGTATCCTAGCCACAAGCCCACTCGCGTACAAATGCGCTGACTCACGTCCGGCGGTTTTTTCTTCTGCTCAGTTGCGACCATCAAAACCGAGCCGCGGGACGACTACGACGCCCCTCTGGCGTGCGCCCCCCTCGGGCCCAGCCTCTCCGTGCACCCCAAGCCCTACTTCCCGCCTCAGTTGACGTACACTCAGCAAACGTCGGCGCCCAAGCCCACCCCGAGCACCAGCCCCAAACTGCACGACTTGTCGCTGCCTCCGCCCTTCCCCTTGCCCCACGTCTCCATCATCCAGGAGACCCCGGCTCGCTTCCAGCCACCGTCTCAGCCGTCCACGCCCGAGGGGGGCTTCTCCCCCGGTGGCAGCCCTACCAAGGTGCCGGAGAGCGGGGGACGGCCTTCGCTGCGGGACGACGGCAGCCCGCCGTCGTTGGGCGTCAGCATCAAGGAGGAACCGCAAGAACTGGACCAGATGTACCTCGACGACGGTGAGTAGCATTTTTCTGTACCCCATCACCGCCCACCCCTTCCCAAACAACGTCTGGCTCGCTACATTAATGTCATGATGTCACGCTTGAGACCATAATGGCCGCTTTCGGAGATGAGGAGCAGCCACAACTGCGCCTGATTATACCGGCGGCCATTTTCATGTGGCCGATGACGCAGTGCTCAGGTGTAAGCTTTGTCTTCTGGAACGAAGCTCGTCAAATTGAAAGTCAGACTCAGGCCGACGGTTCAAACTGAAATGTGTTATTTTGCTTCGCTTTGTTGAGCGGTCGATGTGTTTTGTAGCTGGCGACATTTTAACCTCGGGGACACAAGTCTGCCTTTCGGGCCTTGTAAAAGATAGCATTGGATAAAATATAATTTGCGTCATGTTTGATGACAGAAACAGCCTGCAAGGGTAAGTTACTTCTAAAATGCTTCTAAAAACTCAAAATTCCAAAATGTCTTTTTGAGCAATTTTTGAGCTCTTTTCATCATAATGACACAAGCCGAGAGTGAATATGCAGATTCCTTTTAAGGTATCGGGTACTCGTAGAGTCCGCCGACACCAGCCACAGATGCTTCAAGCAAAACAAAAACAAGACATTAAGTCCTCCTAGGCAGCAGTTGGCGGTAGAGAGTGGCAGTTTATTGAATCAATTCAATACACTGTCCAATCATTTTTTTTTCTCCGTTTTGTTGCTCAAAATAAAATATTTCTCAAATGGCTTTCAATTCCATGACGCTGCAGCGCATTTAATGAATTCCATAATTTTATCATCTGAATATAATTGGCCCTGCGGCCCTCGCGAGGATCAGAAAATAGATGGATGGATAAAATAATTGGCTTCAATATAGAAAAACATGTAATTTAGTTGAAACGTATTGAAAATAAATTCTACCAAAATATATATTTTTAATGTTGTTCAGCATTAAATGTATCGAAGAGTGAACTAAAACTGAATTGAAACATTGAATTTGCGGATGCTCTTGCGCGTCACAAGAGGGAGCCAACATTTTTACAAACTCCACCTCAACACACCGAGCGACCAATCCGCGGAAATGATTGGCGTCAACTCCCAACGCTGCCCATTTGTGACAGCCGATGATAAGCAGTCATCTGGAAAGTTCCAGAAAGCCACCTCACAGATTGCCACAGCGGGATGTTTTCATCTCTTCCATCAACTTTCTGTCCACCGTCCCATCTTTACCCTCCGTCCAATCCCAGGTGTCCCCTTGCGGAAAGTGTGAGTCACCACTCACGCTGTCTGGCCGCGTGTTGACCGTCTGGCTTGCCTGCGAGCGAGCTAGCGAGCGAGCGAACGAGCACCTCCTAAAGGCCGAGAGGCCCAAAGGCCACGGCAGGCTCGACGCCATTAGCGCATGATTTACGTGTCAGTAAAAATAGCGCCGGCGGGACAAATGGCAGAGAATCTGTTTTTTTATGATGAGATCCAGAAAACAGACTCTTCCCCGCCTTCAAGATGTCTGCGGCAGCTGCTACTCGCAGAAAAAAAAAAAAAAAGAAAAAAATTCTCAGTGGCAAGCAAAAACAAAATAGAGAAAACGCTGCACCATCCATTCATCATACGAAGCGCTTTTCCTCACCAAGGTTTTGCTTCTTCCATTTCGTACCAAACCATTTTTGATGATTTTACCCTTTGAGGGACAGCGCTTACCACAGTGGACAGCTCGGGTTACAGAATGCATGAAAGGGTTCATATTTAGATTTGTTTTCATTTTAGAGAGATCGGTAGCTTATATATCCATATCTATATATTTAGATTTTTTTTTTGCGGTATTAATTACTTTAAGTGTCTTGAAAAATATTAGATTTTATTTCTTGAATATTTCATTTCTTTGCTTTATTAAATATGTCATGTTCGTGAAAAAGGAGCAAGGGTATAGTAAGGCTTTTTTTTTCGGACACGATGTATAGTAAGGCGTTCGTGAAAAAAGAGCAAGGGTTTAATCAGTTTTTTTTAGGACACGATGTACAGTAAGGCGTGTCCTATAAAAATGTCATTGAAAAAAAAAAACTAATACATTTATTTCCACTGTTTTATTTATTTGATACATAAATGATTTTAGTCAGGATTTTTGGGGGTTGTTGTGTTCCCTTCATTTTTTTGGAGCAGCGTATTTATTTTTCATTGATTTAATACATTTTGATTTCATCCAGTTGTATTGTGTATTTAATACGACTAAAATATTAAATTGCATTAGTTTAATTTCTTTAATGAGTAATTCAATTCCACTTAATTTTATTTAGTTAATGTATAGTATATTGGGACATTTAGTTGATATAGTTTTGCGAATATATATTTGTAAAATAATTGATTTCTTCATATTGTTGGTGTGATTATTTTTTTTTCCCACGTGCTCATTTTGTTGTTGGAATCATTGATGGAATATTTCATTTTATTCCGTAAATGTTTACGTTCATTATGTATAAGTTACTTTTCGAACATATTTAATTGGATTCATGAACTCTTTGTACTTTGGTTACTTCGCTTTATTTTATTGTGTACGTTGAAATCAAATGCAGCTTTGTGTGTGTGTGTGTGTGTGTGTGTGTGTGTGTGTGTGTGTGTGCGTGTGTGTGTGTGTGTGTGTGTGTGTTCAGTGCAATGCACAATGAAACACTTTGTGAGAACAGCGTTCAATGTCATGGCAGCAGGGCAAAAGTCCTCTTTAAAAGCACCGGAGGAGGTGTTGCGTTCAAGAGCAACAGGAAATCCAAACGTCCCACACACGTGCCGTCAAACTTTTTTTTTTTTTTTTTTTTTTTTTTTTGCCACTTTTGGACCTTTTGCTGAACGCACTCACAAAGTAGGAGCTCCCAAAAGTCAAGCCAAGAACATCTCGTGGCTTGCGGTCTGGACCAGAACGTGGCAGTAAAGTTTGGAGGTGGGCGGGGCCAGGGTGTGTTTGTTTTGTCCCCGCGCGCGGGGCGGGCGCTTGTTGTTTGAATCCCGTTTTGGTAAATGGCCAGCCAGCGGGGCCGTCCCGGTAATTGTTTGGGAGTTCCTTGGCCCCCGTGTGTGTGTGTGTGTGTGTGTGTGTGTGTGTGTGTGTGTGTGTGTGTGTGTGTGTGTGTGTGTGTGTGTGTGTGTGTTTTTCTTTGGTGTATGTGAGGTAGTTTGTGCTTCCATCTGCGTGTGTGCGCATTTGTGCCTGTGTGTGCGCGCCCATGGGTCTATATGTGTCTGTGCCTCGGTATCAGACGGCGCCAGTTGCGGCGTACATCCGCGGCACAGGAAGCCTGTTCCTGGATGACTTCATCCGAAAAGCCGTCAGCTGCCCGTTCCAATAAACGCAAGAAGTCACAAGCGCGTTTTGCTGCTTTATTGCTGTAGTCGCCGCCTTAACTTGTCCGCAGCTCGCTCGTGCTACCACGCTAAGCCAATAGCACGTCACTGCAGTCTCAAGGGGGCGGCCCGGTGCATGACTGGTTACTGCGCCGGCTTCCCGGTGCAGAGGCGCAGGGTTCGATCCCACCTCTGGCACTCGTGTGTGTCTTTCTGGTTAACTCTTCTTGAACATATGCATTACTTATGTTCACAAGTCTGTGCCATAAATACTGCAAACGTTGCCATACTATAGTGGGACACTCTGGCTGACTGGTTACTGCGCCGGCTTCCCAGCACAGGGTTCAATCCCGACCTCTGGCATGACTTATTTTCACGAGTCTGTGTCATAAACACTGCAAACGTTGTCATACTACACGCAGATGTTCAAAAGCTTAACAAATTGAGGTGGGGTGGGTCCCCTACAAGCAGGGAGCCAAAAAGTTATTTTGCTACCTTCATGAACGTCTGACTATCTTATTTTTTCTTTTTTTACAACTCGTAGTTGTTACTGTGAAAAAAAAATCGACAAAGGAATCTGTGTTTTAGAGGAATTAACACAAACAGTGTGAGTAATTCCTTTTTAGCCTTCACAAGGTTTTACTTGGTGTACTAGCAAAATGTAACAAAAAACGCTTTTTGGGGGGGAACAAAAGCAAACTAAAGCATACGAAGTTAACTACCAGAGGACTTTGTGAGTACCTTTATTGCCTTCCAGCAGATTGCTCTGTTGCCACGGCAACTCAACCAGGAAGCAGAGTCGACGGGGGTTGGTTGGTTTGACATTTGAACGTTGGCCGAAGCGTTCGCAGCAACGGGCCCGGCGCCCGCGGCGTCCCTCTCGACTATTTCGGGGTCTTCAATACATTGACGTTTGTTCTCCAATTGGCTCCCGTGGCAGCACGTTGAAAAGTAGGACACGGAAAACGGCTCGCTGGCAGCCGGTCACGTCGGCGCTCACGTGATTTCGTCAGCACGGTCAATTGCACGACCGTTGAATTTTACATCCGTGTTCAAGCGCCACGTTTTTTTTATTTAAAAAAAAAATAATAAAAAAATGAAAGAGTAACGCCACGTTTTTGTTAAAAAAAAAAAAAAAAAAGAGTAACCCTAACGATTCCAAAACTTTTTCCACCATTCGTGTGGCCTGGCCTATAACCCGAAACTTTGTTTTGTTTTTGAGCACTCAAACAATGTGGTTGCACAAGTTTGCATAACTCCGATGTGGTTGTGTTTAGGTTACGCAATCACATTCACACATTTGGCGCTAAAGTGCCTCTGATTAGTTCACCACAAATCAAATTCTGATGTTCTTGTAGGCTTTTTCCTGCCATTTCTTCTTACGGGCGGAAGCCTCAAGTTTTTGCTCCAGGACTGCTTTTTTTTTTTTTTTTTTTTTTTTGGTCTTGCCTTGACTCACATGAGTTAGAGGATGAATGTGATTGGTCAATTCGGAACAGAGCCACAACCTGGTTACAAGCGGGTGTGCACACCTGTGTACCCACATTTAACCCTTTCGGGGACAGGGTGCATGAAAGTTTTTTTTTTTTTTTACTTCCTTTCTACGTGCTATCACTAACATTCATTGAGGGAGATGATTCATCTCTGTCTCCTTAATTGATATCACAAAAACCTGGCACCTGATCAGGGGTGTGTTGATTTTTATACCCACTGCATACCGAGATTTTTATTTTCTGGAAGTAGAATTTTGTTTACATGTAAGGTTGTACAAATCCATCCACTTGATTTTAATCAATCCCATGTTTTTTGTTTTGTTTTTGTCCGTCTCTCTCTCACAGTCAATGAGATCATCAGGAACGACCTGTCGAGCATTTCGGTCCACAGCCACGCGTAGGACAACGAGTCAAAAGGACACTTGAAACGTGCTTGGTGGGTCTCCACAAATGAATCGCCATGACCACCAGGGTTTGTTTTTTCCTCTTTTAGCCCCTTTCAATTCAAAAAAAAAAAAAAAGGACCAACTATCATTCCTTGTCCATCATGTGCTGCACTTTGCCTACCAGTTAAGTCCTGAATATACAATTCGCAAGAGTTCGAAGGAAAAGTGCCTTTCTTATAACAAGCAAATATTTTTAAGCACACATTAGGTTGGTTTAAATATTTTTAAGGAATTCCTTTTAAGCATTTTTAAAATCCAAGCACTCAAGCTGTGGTATGTTTTTTTTTTTTTTAATGCTTTTCATGCACTTATTGTACAGTTTTAATGTATTTTTTTATGCACTCTGACAATCTATTATGAATAATATTCTGTATGACTACCAAAGAACAAATCATCTCAAATCCAGGCAAAGCTTGACTTTACATTGCTGCCAAGACCAAAGAATTAAAAACTAATCTCCGGCAATTATAAGCACATAGTAATATTTGAAGGTTTTAAAATATTTATTCTGCTTGCATGTGCTCTGTGTATCCATGCTTATCATGCAGCCTCTTACAATTTTTTTTTCTTTTAATACACATGTATTTATGAGTCTTAATGCATCTCATTGAAGTCTACCAAAGAATCCTTCTTCGGCCACTTGTTAATATCATCTACCACGTGTTGGATTTGTATGTTTATTTGTTAGTCGATCATCCGCACGATACAAACGAATAGCAGAGAGAATCTTGCTTAGTTACTTTTTTTTTTTTTTTTTAATATGGACATGGCAACAATTTGTTCAACGCAATAAAGTACATTTTTTTTAATACGGATAAATGTGTGTGATGTCATTTTAGCTGCATTTTTTTTTTTCGATGTAACGGACAGGTTGACACAACTGCTTTAAATACAACTTTTTCTTTGCTTTATTAAGTTGAGGGAACAAGGGTGAATGTCAACATTTGCAAATCAAATGGAGAATACAAAACTTAGCTAAATGTGTTTTTTTTTTTCTTTTTTTTTTACATCAACTGAACTCATGTAGATTAGCGATTTGTCGGTCGCGAACGAGCCGGTACAAAGAGCCGGCTCTTTGAAGGGAACGACGAGAG